CCTCCTCCTCCGCCTCCTCCTCCTCCTCCTCCTCCTCCTGTCCTCCCGACTGAATCTCGGCTCAACCCGCCCGCAACCCAGAAGAACCGGACAGTGTGGTAGGCGTGGACCCTTTCCGCTCCAGGTGGCTTCAAGAGCGCCTCCGAACTAGCCCAAGACGGCCTCGAAGACATTCTGAAGACGCCTCCAAGACGGCCAGCATGGCTCCAAGAGGGCCCAACACCCATCCAAGACGGCCCAAGATGGCCACAAGAGGGCCCACTATGGGTCAAGACAGCTCGAGAGGCCTCCAAGACGCCCCAAGAGGTCGCCAAGCGACCCTCCAGGAGGACCCAGAAATTACCATGTGACGTACCCAACCCTTTCTACAAATGTGGCGATTATACTCAGGACCACTCAATGCTGACTGCCATTCTGAAGGACTCGTAATGCGCAGAAAGAGCACCCAACAATGCTTTCAGAAGAGCGCAGCAAGAAGTCCCGTGGTGATCCGCGTATGACGTACCTCTGCTGGGCCTCCCAGGAGCCCACAAGAGTGGCGACAATTGCGCAGATCGCAGCCCCCCAGGGGCGGCGAGGTCCCGTGGTGATCCGCGTATGACGTACCTCCGCTGGGCCTCCCAGGAGCCCACGAAAGTGGCGACAATTGCCCAGATCGCAGCCCCCCAGGGGCGGCGAGGTACCGAGGTGATCCGCGTATGAGGTACCTCCGCTGGGCCTCCCAGGAGCCCACGAAAAAGGCGACAATTGCGCAGATCGCACCCCCCCACAGGCGGCGAGGTCCCGTGGTGATCCGCATATGACGTACCTCCGCTGGGCCTCCCAGGAGCCCGCGAAAATGGCGACAATTGCGCAGATCGCAGCCCCCCCTTGGGTGGCGAGGTCCCGTGATGATCCGCGTATGACGTACCTCCGCTGGGCCTCCCAGGAGCCCACGAAAGTGGCGACAGTTGCGCAGATCGCAAGCCCCCCCCTTGGGCGGCGAGGTACCGAGGTGATCCGCGTGGGACCCACCTCTGCTGGGCAAGCCAAGGAGCCCACGAAAGTGGCAACAGTTGCGCAGATCGCAAGCCCCCCAGGCGGCGGCGAAGTACCGAGGTGATCCGCGTGGGACCCACCTCCGCTGGGCCTCCCAGGAGCCCACGAAAGTGGCGACAGTTGAGCAGATCGCAGCCCGACGACACGAGGGAAGAGGAGAGGGGAACACCAGAAACAGGAGAGAAGGAGGAGGGGAGGAGAGGGGAGGAGAAGGAAGGAAGGAAGGTCGGGGCGACCACACTGCTTTATTCAAAACGAGTACCCAACACAGGAGGGTTTGGAAAAAGTCAGAACCACTGGTTGGCATAATGCGTTTCTGGGAGATTTGAACGTCTTCGCCTTTTCGGGCGTCAATCAGCCCAAGACGGCCCCAGAGGCCTCCAAATGACCGCCAAGATGGCCTCGGAAGCTCCCAAGAGGGCCCCAACACTTTCCAAGATGGCCCCCAGATGGCCCAAGAGGCCCCAATGACGACTCCAAAACGGCCTCAGAAGAATCCAAGTAGGCCCGCGAGCGCCCCACTCGAGCCCAGGGACGGCCCAAAGAGACTCCCGTCCAGTGACGGCCCAGAGAGGTCCCCCAAACGGTGGCCGAAGGCATCAGGCGGGCCACATATGAAGCCCCACAGAGGCCCACGGAAAGAATGAAAAGGAAACCGGTCAGGCTATGCGGACCTTCGGGCACATTTCCAAACACGGTCGCATCGAACGGGCCTAGTGTTGCCTGCCATCGCGTGCTGCTGTCCAGGTAACTGCACAGCAGACTCCCCCGCACCCTTCCTCCTTCTTTCTCTCGTCCCCGCTTGTCCCACGATGTCGCTGTCATACGCCCCATACTCTCCTCCCTATCTTTCGACAGCCGAGGCCGTCGTTCAGGTCGGCCAAAAAGGGCAAGCATCTGGATGGGAGCTGCTCCAAGCATGAGCGCCACCAACGAATGGTCTGCTAAACTGTGCTGATAGACTTTGGTCATGATCCCTTGCTGCGGGGCTGTGGATGAAAATTTACGACTGCCACACGCACGTCCAGAAGTCCACGTTGTACACGTGCTCTTAGACAACAACCCCAAAGCTCAGTTGGACTCGGAAATACTCGTCTGTTGTGATACGCTCGCGTGCCCTTTCAAATCATGACCGTGACCCCTGCACTACGATTGGTGTAACGACCTGGTTGCACTGCTGGTTTGCCCTCAGCATGTCTCTGGAGAACCTCTGCCTCTCGGCACACATTTCGAGTTCCTGCGAGGCGGGTGAAATCCATGCTCCATGTGCAAGCAGCAACCTCCTGCAAACGACCACCTGTAGCCCATTGCGGATTCCACCCAAGAGCACGTAGTGTTGACATGGCCAGCGGCACCCCCTGGCATGACGGCAGCGCGGCCGAAGGCGAGAATACACGTGTGCATTCGCTCCTCTGGCATGAAGGGTGGAAACCTTGGGCCCGAGACTGTCGAGGAGGAGAAGAAGGAGGAGGAGGAGGAGGAGGAGGAGGGAGAAGGGAGGAGGAGAGGAGGAGGAGGAGGGGAGGAGGAGGAGGAGGAGGAGGAGGAGGAGGAGGAGAGAGGAGGAGGGAGGAGGAAGAAGGGAGGAGGAGGAGGGAGGATGGAGGAGGAGGGGGGGGAGGAGGGAGGTGGAGAGGAGGAGGAGAAGGAGGAGAAGAGGAGGAGGAGGAGGAGGAGGATGAGGAAGAGACAGAGGGAGGACTTTGCACTCCTTCCTCTCTCCTCCTACCTCCCTCACCCTCCTCCTCCTCCTTCTCCTCCTCCTCCTCCTCCTCCCTCCCTCCTCCTCCTCCTCCTCCTCCCCTCCTCCTCCACCTCCTACTCCTCCTCCTGCCTCCTCCTCCTCCTCCTCCTCCTCCTCGATGTTTCTTCTTCGACCTGCTGCTGGACGCAGCCCCGGCCGCCCCCGAGGCCCCGGCTACGCAGAGCGCCCGAGAGAGGGGCAAGGCCTCGGCAACTCTCGGGCGGGGGGGCCCTTGGCCCTTGTGCGCTGGCGACGGCGCGGCGGCCCCGAGGCGCACGGGCAAGCTCGGCAGGGAGGGGCAGGAGGGGTAGGAGGAGGGGAAGGTGGAGGAGGAGGAGGAGGAGGAGGAGGAGGAGGAGGAGAAGGAGGAGGAGGAGGAGAGGGAGGAGGAGGAGAGGAGGAGGAGGAGGAGAGGAGGGAGGAGAGGAGGAGGAAGAAGAGGAGGAAGAGGAGGAGGAGGAAGAGGAGGAGGAAGAGGAGGGGCGGGGCGAGGGTTCGGTGGCAATTCATGGGAGCCTACAGTACCAACTTGTCGGCTCTTGCGAACCGACGCTGATCGACGATAGTCGACGCTCATCGACGCTAAATCGCTGGTAATCGACGCTAGCCGGCGCTCACCGACGCTAAATCGGCGCTATCTCAACAACTCCCAGACGCTAATCGACGCTAGTCGACGCCGAAGACGGAATCAAGAGGATATACCAGGCTCCCACGATTTGCTACCGAAGGCGGGGGGGGCGTGGCGAGGAGGGGGGGAGCCAGAGGAGCTTAGCTGCCCCGATGCGCAACACACTACACGTAGCGAATTGGCACGGAGCCCGACACGCAGATCGAAAGCGCAGGCATGACGCGACACGTTCGCCAAAACGTGGGCCAACACGGTGAGCCAACACGCAACGTGTTCACACGCCCGCGCTGAACACGGCACGTGTTGCGTTTGAACACGGGCGCATCGGGGCAGCTGAGGTCTGGAGGCGAAGGGCCTCCAGCGCGGAGGGCAAGAGCCTCCAAAACGGAGGTCGAGCCTCCGTTTGGAAGGTTCTGGATTCTCTGGGGCAGGGAGGAGGGGGAGGGTATAGGTCGCGAAGGCGGAGAAGGAGAGTCCGAGAAGGCGGAAACAGCAGGGAGGGGTCAGAAGAGAGGGCGAGTTGAGACAACGGCAATTGGCCCTCGAGTGGCCATCTCACCTCGTCGTCGCGGCTGGATGCAGCGGCCCGGAAAAGCAGCGCGCGCTTGGACCCCGGGAGGGGTCTGGGGGCACCGACTTTGAGCTGGCGCCGCCTCCGCTCGCCCTGCTGCCGAAGGGAGAGGGCGATGGGGGAGCCCAGGGGACCGACAGCTTTCCTCTCGGAGGTCGAGCCGCTCCGTTCTGGAGGCCAAGAAGCCTCCAGCCGGGAGGACGAGAGCCTCCAGAGCGGAGGTCGAGCCTCCGTCTGGAAGGCTGCTGCTCCTGCGGATCACCTGCGAGAGGGAGGAGGCGCAAGAGAGGCAGGGGGCAGAGGATCGGTGCTTCAAAAATGGGGTCCTGAAGGATGGGCATCCTTCTCCTCCTCCTCCGCCTCCTCCTCCGCCTCCTCCTCCTCCTCCTCCTCCTCCTCCTCCTCGTCCTAAGAATAGGACGAGTTCCATGGGTGGACCTGCACTGCTTGAGGCACCTCGTCCTCAGGACCCCCTCCCGCAGGGCCCCATCTTGGAACCACCGAGAGAGACAAGCCCCCAGGGCTGGAGAAGCTGCTCGGCAGTCAGAAGGGGAGCAGCGGCAGGCCCAGACTGGGGCCTCCTGGAGTGGGCCCGAGACGATCGGGCCGGCGCCGATGCATCGCCGCGGCCGGCGTGGCGAGGGTCGGGCTCCACGTCGAGCCGCATCGGCGATGCATCGGCGATGCGGCGCGCTCCTCAGGCCCCACCTGCTCGGTGCCCCCGCTGGGAGGCCTCGGCAGGCGTCCGCCGATGTGATCTCTCGTCGCTCCGCGGCCACAGAGCTGCCGCCCCGGCCCCGCGGGAGGCAGAAGGCGGCCCCCGGAACCCGAGGGGAAGGGACCCACGCCGCGGCCGGAAAAAGACCACACCGTCGGAGGTCTGGGGGGAGGGAGGGGGGGGAGGCGAAGGAGGAGGGAGAGGAGGATTCGAGCAGGAGCTCGACTGCAGAATGGAGGTGTCCCAAAGCTGAAACGTTCGCGGAATCTATGAACGCACGTAGTGTCCATAGATGTACTGAGCATTCTACGTACCTTTTCATATACTCGTCGAACAGTCAGTTCTGGGCTAGATCAATTCTGTAGTCGATCTCCTGCTCGAAGGATCAGGCGAACTCTCAGTACTTCTGAGCAGCGGCCTTGGCCTTGGCCTTTTGCGCCAGCGACATCGCGCCCGCCTCGAACCGCATGGACATGCTGAGCAGGCCCTGCGTGTCGTTCAGGCGATGGGCGAGCCCGTCCACCACCGACTGGATGCAAAACCTCCTGCTCGGACCCCCAACGCTATATCCCTTAAACGTTTCTCAGAAGGCCGGAAGGCTTCTGAGAAGCCCCGCCGCCTTCTGAGAGGGCCTCCTCCTCCTCCTCCTCTCCTCCTCCCTCCTCCTCCTCCTCCTCCTCCTCCTCCTCCTCCTCCTCGCTCCCCCCCCAGGCCTCCGACGTCGTGATTTTTTCGCGACGTCGACCCCCAGAGGTCTTGACCCCTTCCCCCAAGACTGGTCTTGCCTCCTGCCTCGTTCTTGGACGGCCCCGGGGCTCAGAAATTGAGGCCTGCCAGAGACCGAAAACAGCGAAAAGCCTCCCATCATGATGCCTATCATGACTCGAGGGCCGGAGGGTTTCTCAGAAGGCCCGCCGCTGGCAGAGAGAGGGATAGAGAAAGAGAGAGAGCTAGAGAAAGAGAGAAATAGAGAGAGAGAGAGAGCTCAGACTTGTATCTCGCTTTGCTAAAGGAAGAGGAAACGCCCCACCCCCCCAGGTCGAGGGGGGACATTCTGGGATCGCAGGACCCGGCGCCCGCCGTCCCGCCCCTTCTCGCTTCCCCCCCGGGCGCGCCGCCGATTTTCTGGTCGCCACGCTCTTCCTTCACGTCGACCCTGCGGCGGCCCCGCTCGGGCCCCGTATTGGAGGCCTGGAAATGGGCACCAGCACCAGCACAGGGGGGGTGCCTCCACCCTGGGAGCATGATCCTACAACCCTCGTCGAAGTTAACCTCAAAAATGTCTTACGTGGCGGAACTGTTTGTGGGGAGATACTGGGCAGAGTTGCGGCGACTGCGGAATACTTGTATGCGCCGCCCATCCAAATGTCGGTCATCATCGAATTTCCGAATCGTCCCCGGTCAGACCACTTTTGCATTGGCCCCGACATTGGAGAGAAGTCGATCGACATTGAAGGGCGCGCCGACGTCGCAGAGGAGTGCTCGCCATTTTTGACATTAATTTTGACGAGGGTAATCGATTGGATTTGGGTGTTGGTGGCAATATTTCGGCCACCTGGGAAACCCGCATATTACCACCATCGCCGAGATCGGGATCATCTTCCCGCCCCGCCTGCAGTGCATGCACACCGCCGATACTGGTGTTGGCGCCAACATCTAGGCCTCCAATGGCGATGCGGCTACGGTCGAGGGAAGAAATTAAGAACCTTCCCCCCTCCCCCCGCAGTTCAGAGTTGTGGCACGCTCCTTGAAGACCACTCGGATGCCCCAGATTGGAAGATCCGACACCAACATTGCATTTTGGGGGGGGTCAAGCCATACGTTCTGCATGCGAGCAAGCAAGCGAGCCTGGCGCCTCGACGGCGCATCGGCACAAAGGAGCTGAGGCGCCCCATGCAACTCACAGCTTCGTCAGGGCAGCGCTGCGTATACGCTGGGAGCCCACTGCTGTTTGGGCCTCCCGCGCGCACGGTCCTCATCCCAGATTCGAAGCCTATTCGACTGGTCTTTTCACGTGAGCCTGCGCAGTGGGTGGTCCTCAGGAAGAGCGGCGATCCCCTCGTGGAGCTTCTTCTGGCGTTCGAGCATGTCCTTACTTAGATCGTGCTCGCCTGTCGGTTCCAAGACGCTGCGGTTCGGAACTCTGGAGACAAAGGCGCACGGAATGCGACATATTTTCCTCAGACATCGCACATGAAAAGAATCTAGCCTGTCCTTGTCGGCCTGAAGGGCCCAAACATATTCCAAATTGCACAGCAGCTTCGGCGCCGCGATCGCCCGGCGCAATTTTACCTCCCTCGCCGGTGATACGTTCGCGCGTGATCCGCACTATTGAAGAGATTTGAACGCGCCCTGGCTTTCCCTAGTCTTCGGGTGAATTCCGGCTTCGCGGCGCAACCTGCGTTGAGAAGACCTCCAAGGTATATTGCTTGCTCTGCAACTGCCAGTCTCAGAAGATTCCCGGAAGGGCACCTGAGGGAGCCAGCGTTCCGAACCCTCATGAAGACGGTCTTCCTCCTCGCAGCTCCAACCCATGCCGCCCCCCTCATCAATGACCGCATCGCACAGGCTCTGAAGCTTGTCAGTACAACTGCTGGCGAGCGTCGCGTCGTCAGCGCACAGCAAATCAGAGCGCGGAATGAAACCTGGCACCCGTTCCGTCGAATGCGAACCTTTCACGCGCGCATCAACGTCAAAAAACATGACGCTTTGAACAACGATGGAGAGATATGGTGACAATGGGCAATCCTGCGCGATGCTGGCACGCTGTTGTCGCGCGCTTGAGTCCCCAGCGGGGTCCTGAAACATGAAATTGCGTTCGCTGTAGATGCCGGCAATCAAATCCACCATGCAGCCGCCCTGCAACGTTGTGTATTTGCAATAGCTTTTTGGGAGGCCCTTCCGGAGCCCCCGCGCGCTGCTGCCCGCGGACCCCCCACGAACATGTCTTCGAGCCAGCGCTGTTTGTCTTTCTTCGCAGAAGCTTTGATGCGTCTCATCAGCTGTCTCCTCTGGGCTGCCGGACGCTCTGACATGACCTCGTTCTCTGAATAAATCCAGCGTCGCTTGGCTTATCCATGGTCTCTGGGGTTTCCTGGCCGAGGTGTTCAGCAGCTCCTCTGATGCAGACTGCATGGCTGTGCGAATGGTTCTGGCGCGCTGGCCCAGAGTCAAAGTGAACGCCAGAGCCCCCGCTGCATTGCAGAAGCCTTGCTGGTAGTCCTGCTTGGCGTCGTTATCAGTAACTCGCATCCGCTCTAGGCTGCGAGGGGGCGTCGGGGTGGAAGTATGCAGAGGTAGATGCCAATCGCAATTGCACGAGGATGTGTCTGGTCGCCAGTGGGGCTGTTCTGTCCGACCGCTGGTCCTGGATCCAATGCTTCGCGCGAGTAATCACCTGGCAATGGTCTATTTGAAAGAAGCCCCCCTCGTCTATGGCATCCATCTTGTTCGCCTGCGGCGAGTGGCACGTGGTCAAATTCTCGCTGGGCAGCCCGAAGAAAGCGAAGCCCGGCAAGTTTCCGAGGAAAGCTCTCTGTTCGTCCTCTTCCTGTTCTTCGGCCACTTGCACTTGAACGCGTACCTGCCGATGATGGTGTCCTCTTCGGGCCCTCTCGAGAAAATCATCGTGTTGGAATCCTCCATTGTGATTGTGAGGTTGTGTTTACCTGTTCTTTGCCATGTGTTCGACAACGCATCACAGAATTCACGCCTCACTTCAGGACTACATCTCGCGTGTGAGGGTAGCAACTAAAAACGATAATAGTCCCACCATGAACTTTCAACTTCAGGGTGGCAAGTCGGTCGGACATCAAATTGAAGCCCATGGCTCCTCCCGCCGCGCGCGGTGCAACTACGAAGCCGACACCAGAGAAGATGCGGCCTTCAGAGTATTCCGATGTGCCTGAAAATAAAATAACCATTAACAGTGAAATGTGATGTCTCATGTACCCCTGTAATGCACAACATATCGATGCCGAGGCGGGCCATATGATGAAATAGTTCAGGTAATGTATCGCACGCCTTACCCAAATCTTCCACGTTCCAGGTCGCCAGGACCTGGTCTGCCAGCGACTCACAATAAAGGTTACTGCGTCCCCATGTGCATCCAGAGCGGTGTCTCCAACGATCTTGCTCGTCAAGCGGCTCCGTGGGTCGGGTGGTCGCGGTGGTAACTTTGCCCGTGTCCGCGGCCCCCAGAATCGAGCCATTACTTGTGCGAGGCGCCACTTGCTGTCCAGAACCTTGCCAGCGACGGCTGTAGTTTCCGTCGTGGTGTTCTGGGGGCAGTGGCGATGGCGGAAGACCTCCCCCGAAGAAGGTCCAAAACTGATGCTCGGAAAAATGATGTTCAATTCGGCGTGCATCTTCGGCTCTGGTGCGGACCTGGGCTGGCCCCGGCCGCGATCCCTATTTGGATCCCTTGCCTGCTCCTTGCAGTCCCCTCAGAGAGCGTTCCAGTATGCCTTGGCACTTGTCAACAAGATCCTGAAGGTCGGGGGAGTCTTGAAGCTCCTTCCGAACCTGCCAATCGTCTGACCACTTCAACACGCGTGTGTTCTCGGAGATCTCGGCAGTCAGTACCAACTTCCCGCCGACATGGACTGTGTACGGCTCCTTGTCTACCACCCGGATCGTGTAGGTGCCCGCGCCGAAGGAGGTCTGTCTTGGGTAGCCCAGACTTGCAATTCGAGTGAAAGGCACTGCGGAGTCTTTATCGGCCGTATTCCCAAACTCGGCGAAGACGACATTAGAAAACTCACATTTCGCATAGACCGTGTGCGGCTGTGGACATGAGCAGGCCTGCAGCTGATCCTTCAACCACGTAGTAACCGATGTAAACAAATCGAAACCATCCAAATTCCACCAAACTCCGGTAAGGTGACGTTTGTCGCCTGCAGACGTTGTTGCCGAGGCCTGGTGAGGAGAGAGCCGAAGTGCGGCGACTTGCGCCTCGAATTCGTGCAGTTTCGCCTCCGCTGCCGTCCCGGTCGACGCAGCAGTCGCACTCCTCGCTGATGCTGGACGGGATGGATTAGTCTCCAAACCGGCCACTCTGGTGGAGATGTCTTGGACCGCATTCTTCAATGGATTCACCGCGTCATCGAAATCCTGCTGGGAGACACCGCACGCTTTGATGGCCTCGATGTCTGCCTGGATTGGACGAGGGTGTTGTTTGAAGAGCTGTGCCATCGACTCCATCGTGATGTTCTCGATTCTCGTCATCTCACCTGTGGCCCCCAACCCCCAGCCAGCGTAGATGTTTTCCCACTGTCCTCTTTATCTTCAAGCCCGTCCATGTCATGAAGCGGGCTGTGGATTCTATGATGTTTGAACAATTGCCTGACTGGAGTACCTGCAAAACGCTTCTCGCCATCACCAGGCCAGAAGCAGACGCCATCGAAAGTGCAAGATGCAAGGAGGAGGAGTAAGGATGATTTGGAGTATGCGACGTATCCCTGCTCCCTTGAGCCGTAGCCTGGAGCCTGGAGCCTTGAGGCTTGTTCTGCATGAGCGTTGCTTAATTGTTTCCGACACCTCAGGGATCTTTTGGCCCGGGTCAATCCAAACCCGGGTCAGTCAGGCATTGCAGAATCCTGCAAGATCCTGCCCCCAAACCAGGGCCAATGCGAAGGATCCTGCAAGATCCTGCAGGATCCTGCACCCAAGCCCTGGTCAATGCGACCCTGGCCCTGCAGGATCCTGCAAGATCGGGGTGCTCCGGCTGACCCCCGTTTGCATTGACCCCCGTCTCAAGGCTCCCGAACACCTGCATTACAGACGGATCTGGGTCTCGCAGCTATATCCCCGGGGGGGGGGGGGAAGGGGTCGGGGCAGCCCTGGGGCCGCGGAGAGGCGACGGCATATCGGAGGCTGTATGGTTAAATCAGGCGGATTTTGGACGACAAATATTAGAGTACAGGCGGCTTTTGGACGAATGATTAAAAACACACATGTCAAAACAGACTAAACAAACATGCCACAACATTATTTTGGAAAAAACGCCTCCGGACTATTTGTTTGCCTATTCTTGGGTATTCCTCCTGTGGAGGGACAGGCCCGACCTGAATGCACTACAAGCGGATTTTGGGCGAAAAATAAAAAGAAGTCAGCAACAGCAGAAGCAGACAAAATGCTCCCGGAGACTCATGGACATCGTCCCCCTAAAAATGCGTGGATCTCATGCGGGGCGGCCATCCAAGGGGTAGGGCAGCGGCCTCGACCCTGCAGCGGAGGCCCGTCCACGAGGAGCCTCCCACGAGAAACCCAGCCCTGAGATGAGGTCGGGCCTGTCCCCCCACAAGAGGAGTATTCAAGAATTGTCCAAAAATCCGCCGACCCCTTGGGGATCATCGGCGAGTGAGATGCTTCCCCCTCCCCAAACCCCTCCCCCTGGAGCCCGGTCCGGTCGATTTGGAGGGGGAGGGGAGGGGCGTCTGGCCAGAGCTCACCCGGGGTGTCTGGCGCTTCCCGGGCTCTTTCTCGAGGTCCACGACAGCTTCTGGGGCCGCCCAAGAGGCCCCCAAGACGGTCCAAGAGGGCCCCGACGCCCAGGATGGCCCCAAGACGACCCCAGAAACCTCCCAGACGGCCCAGGAAGCCTCCAAGAGCATCCCCAAGAGGGGCCCAAGAGGCCCAAATTGACGAATTCCTATGGGAAAACCTACATGTTTATCATGAACGTTTTTTCTGCCTTCGCGGCGTTGAAGACGGCCCCAGAGTCCCCCAAGACTACCCCAAAACGGCCCGACAGGTTCCCAAGAGGCGCTCGAAACGGCCCAAGAGGGCGCCAAGACGGCCCAAGAGGCCCCCAAGACGGCCCAAGAGTGCCTCAAGACAGCCCACTAAGGGGCCCAAGGGGAGGAGCCTAAATCAACAATCCAAGCCTTCCGCCCCAAAACAGCCTGGGGGGGACCAAAAGGCGCTCAACAGGGCCCATGGGGCTCCCAAGAGGCCCCCCAAGAGGCCCCAAGAGGACCCCAAGAGGCCCCCCAAGAGGCCCCCCAAGAGGCCGCCACGAAACTCAAAAAAAGCTCCAAGCACCACTTAAGGCATGTAACTTCTAACCCGCAGCCCAGGCACCAAGGATCTCAGGCCGACAACCAAGGCGCGGTGGCGGGATGGGCCTAAGACCGCTATATCTATGTGTATATATATGTGTGTGTATGTGTGTGTGTGAACTGCCGCGGGAATCTACCTCGATCGAGAAGAAGAAGAAGAAGAAGAAGAAGAAGAAGAAGAAGAAGAGGAGAAGGAAGAGGAGGAGGAAGAGGAGGAAGACGAAAAAAAAGAAAAAAGACTTCGTCGTCGCCGCCGATGTCTCACAGATTTCCGTGGTCTTTCAACCACCCGAGGCATCTCCTCGAATTCAGCCTCCAAGAACCGTTTTCGGTGCCGGGGACCACCGCCGAAAGTCCGGGATGAAGATCTTTCTCCCTGGCAGGTGCCACCCCTTCGCAAAAGAAGGAACACGGGGAGGATCGAGGCTCGAGGCATGAGACTCCTAGTTCTTGGGCGCTCTCCGCCCCCTCTGGGCCTTCAGGAAGCTCCTCATCGACACAGCTGGATCCCCTCTCGAACTTCTGGCCGGACGCAACCCCAGCTGAGTCTCAACGATCCCCGAGCCTATCCAGGAGGTGGAAAGAGGCCTGGGACAGGCCCCGTGAAGGCCCCAAGAAACTCACATAAGACCACGGAAAAATTCAAAACAATCCCCTACAAGGCCCCCCTTGAACCCCACACGCTACGTAGGACAAGCCGAAACCGCAAGATTGCCCAGCGATCGCGCGCGTTCCGCGAATTCTGTCTTTCATTCTTGCTGCCGCCCCAAGGGGTCGGCGGTGCGGCGTAAGCCAATGAATAGTCTGGGCACGATTTTTTTAGTGTTTGGGAGCATTGTTCTAATATGTTTTGACTATTTCTATTTTTCGTCCAAAACCCGCCTGTAGGGGGGGACACGCCCGACTTCAACCCAGCCCTGATACCCGAGGACGTCCATCGAGTTTTGGTGTGGGGACGTCGCGCTCTCCGCGGCAAAGGCATCGAGACCCGAGAAACCCAGGGCACCCTGGAGGCAAGCAGGGTGTCTCTTGGCATGTGCCTCCACTGTGAGTTCGGGGCGGCCATCCAAGTGGAAGGGCATCGGCGTCGGCCCAGTAAGAGATACGCATCCCACTCGCGCTGGAACTCTTTCGTTTTTGCGCCACGGGACCTGGGTGTCAGGCCGGGCATGTCCCCCTGCAGGCGGATCCTGGAAGGAAAACGAGAAGTGGTCCAAAAAAGTGCCCCAAAAATATTTAAGCATGGTCGATACATCGCCACCCGACTACGGTAAGTTCGCGCGGCGTCGGCGCGCGCAAAATCTTTTGACACCGTGTCGATCGTTCAACCTTGCATCGATAGCGGCCCCGATCGCTCAATGTTGAATCCAATCGGGCCCAATGCCGTCACCGTGTCCCTCGGTGTTCCCCCGTCTCAGAATCAAACTTTGAACGCCTTTGCCGGCATCGCCAGCGCGCCAACGCCGCACGAACCCGCAGTATCTTTTTGACTGTTTTGGGGGACCTTCGGTGGGTGGACGACAAAAATGCAAGTTGTTCGTGGACGCATGCGGCTGCACATGGACTGCGACAAGATCTCGACGCCACCCCCCCTGCCCCCTACATGTCAATGTTGGCGTCGCTGAGGCACCCCCCGTTCCAGAGGACAAAATCATGCAAGCCAACATTGAACTGCGGGGGTGATGGGGACCCTCGGAGATCGAGTGAACCTGCTCCAGATCAGCACACGCTGCCTCCCTGGAGCGCCCAAAAGACTTGCAATCTGTTGCCCACCGGCCCAACCTGGGGTGCCACGGTGCCGCCAGGCGAGCCGCCCTGCGCAGACGTTGCTACAAACCGGCTGCTTCGACGTTCTCCGAGGCCTGGGCCCCCGAGACCCGACGCTGCGAAAGATGGCAGTCTCTGTGACTGGCGCCCCGGAGTCCAGCTCTCTGCGGCATCTGCCGAGCCCGACCCACCTGTGGCTCGGTGGCAACTCGTGGGGGCCTCCCGTGCCATCTTGTGGGCTCTTGCGAATCGACGCTAATCGACGCTGAATCGACGTTTATCGACGCTAAATCGGCGCTAGATCATCGACTCTGGACGCTAAAGACTCATGAGAGGGCGCACGCGTCTCCCGTGATTGTTGCTTCCCCGCACTGGGGTACGGCCCCGGGCCCCCGGGGAGGCCCACGCGCCGAGGCGCCCGGTAGCCGCGCCCCGACTGCAGGGGCCGTGCGGGCCGCCGGCTCCTCTTGGTGGCGTTGCCCTGGGGCGCGGCGTGCGCGGAGGCCTGGCTGCCCACCAGGACCACCCCGGCCCGACCCGAGGGCCCGCCTCTCGGGCTGGGGGGGGGGGGGCACGGGTCCCACAGGCACTTGCTCGACTCCCCCCCCCCCCCCACTGGAAATGGAGGGCAAGCTGAGGCCTTCGGGCTGGGTTGGGGTGGTTTGGTGGGCGGTGCAGGCCGCGGCCGGCGCGCCGCCGACCGAGGCGTCGTAGCAGTGCTCGGCGAGCAGGCCGTCGACGAGGGCGCGCCCGCAGGCGGCCACGTCGCGCGCGCCCGCGCCGCCCGCGAGGCGCTCCAGGCTCAGGCGCAGGTGGCTCTCGGCGGTCCTTTTTGGACAGCTTTGAATCTGACCCGAGTTTCGGGGGGTGCGGGTTCCACGTGTTTTGTCCATGTTCCCCGACCCCCACCCCCAACTGGAAATGGAGGGCAAATTGAAGCCTTCGGGCTGGGTCGGGGTGGTTTGGTGGGTGGTGAAGAGGGGACGCTGGGCCGTTGGAATTGTGCGGGAATGACAAGAATGAGCGCCCCAGTTGCGCGAATTGAGCTATTTCGCGCCCATTTAGATTCATGTCTCGCCCCCCATTAGGAAGTGGGGGGCGAAACATGGGGGAATGGGGGGGGGGAAGGTGCCATTTTCGGGCCCCAGAAGCTCGCTCCCTTCTGGGCCCGAAAATGGAGAATCGAACTCTATACACCGACGTTTCTTCGGCCCTGCATTGGAATTTGCACTGGAGAGCGGATCCTGGTGAAAACGGGACCCTGGTGTATACATTTTTCGTTGCTTCCTCGGAATATCGGGGAACAAGTATACACCACACCACCCCAGCGCCGTCCTCGACCCTTAAGAAGTCCTGGGATTGAAAACCAGCCCGCCACTGGTGATGTAGATGTTCCAGTTTCCGAGACAAGGGCCCCTTCGGGGGCCCTCGAGGGCCCCTTTTCGGCAGCGCCCTCGCTGCCCCCCCGCATGCATCGCCCCCCCATCACGAATCCTCCGATGGAATAGCAGACGGGCAGCGCCGGGCCAGGGACACACCAAGACACATGAAAGAGAAGACGGCGGTGGCACAGGAGGCAAAAGAAACAAAAGCACACAAAAAAGTGAACAAACGACTGAGTATCAGCCAGAGTAGATCCCAAACAGCGCTTTCCAACAATCTATGTGGTGCAATCTAGGCGGCACAATCAACGCGGTGCAATCCACGTGGTGCAATTTATGTGGTGTACAGCAATACAAAGCAATGCAAAGCAGCGCAAAGCAACGCGAAACAAGGCAACGTAATGCAAAGCAATGCAACGCAATGCAAAACAATGCAATACGAAACAAAGCAATGCAAAACAATGCACATCAAAACAATGCAACGGAACGCAATGGAAAGCAACGCAAAGAAACGCAAAGCAACGCAACGCAACACAATGCAACGCAATGCAAACCAATGTAACGCAGTGCAAAGCTACCCAAAGAAAGCATTGCAAATCAATGCAATTTAACGCAAAGTAACGCCAAGCAGTGCAAAGTAACGCCGGCCCAGAGCGACTGGGCGGCGATGGCGACCACATAGCCGCCATACCGACGGGCAGGCCCAGAAGACGGGCGGCGACGAGGCGGCGACGTGGCGGCGACGGCGACCACATAGTCGCCATACCGACGGGCAGGCCCAGCTCTTTAGAAAATTCGCCGGCCCAACGGCCCAAGGGCGTGCTAAGATCTCCGGTAACTGGTTAACGATATTCTAATTCGCGCGCGCGGGGCCGCCCCTGGGGGTCCCCGGACGAAGAGTACCCCGAGACACCCCCGGGACACCCCCGGGACACTCGGATCAGAGATGCCAGACCGGGCAATTTTTCCACACCCCTCACGAGGATCGTGGCCTCCGAGGGGAGGGGCGCAATCGACTACCCCCCCTCCTGACCCAAGAGGTCCCCAAGACTGCCCAAGAGGCCCCCGAGGCGCCCAAAGAGCGCTCCAAGACGCCGATGATGACCCCAAGACGGCCCAAGAGGCCTCCAAGAGGCCTCACAAGAGGGCCAGAGAGGCCAAAATCATAAATTGTACGATGGTTTTGGAAGGATTTTGGCCTTGTCGCCTTTTCGGCCATCCGATGCTCCAAGACGGCCCAAGAGGCCCCCAAGAGCTCCCCAAGACGGGCCAAGAGGCTTCCAAGAGGGCCCCAAGAGGGCCCAAGAGGGCCCCGAGACGGCCCAAGAGGCGCCCAAGACAGCCCAAGACGGCCCCAAGAGGGGCCCAAGAGGGGGACCACGAACCGAAAACTCGAGCCTTCTGCCCCAAGAGGGCCCCAGGAGGCCCCGAGAGGCCCCCAAGAGGCCCCAAGATGCTGCAAGGAGGCCCCAGAAGTTCAAAAATGCCTCCCAGGCGCCTCCGAACCTCAAAAGACCCCAAGAGGCCTCCCAAAGAAGCATCTTGACGACGACCCCGATGGCCCCAAGGGCAACACAAGATGCCAACGAGAGGCTTCCTCCTCCGCCCCTTCCCCCTCCTCCTCCTCCTCCTCCTCCTCCTCCTCCTCCTCCTCCTCCTCCTCCTCCTCCTCCTACTTATCTTCATCCTCCTCCTCTCCTTCTCATCCTCTCCTCCTCCTCCCCTCCCCTTCCCCATCCTCATATTCCTTCTCCTCCTCCTCCTCCTCCTCCTCCTCCTCCTCCTCCTCCGCGGCGGCGCCACAATGGCCCCGGGCCCATGTCGAAGCAGTAGCGATCATGCAACATGGGCCGGCGGAATGAGCGAAGCGATGGAATAAATGAGAAATCCTAAATGCAATCATTCTTGGGGAACAAGCAAACAGTGCAAAACCTCCGAGATCTGGGCGCTGCAATCTTTTCACGCCAAGCGTTTTCGCCCGGTTTCGGGCCCTGGGACCATCACAGGTCGAACCGGCTCGACAGCGCTGAAGAGAGATGGGGTCTGGTGCTCCCGTTGTGATCTGCCACGGCGTTGCAAGTGTTCGCAGCGTCGGATTTCAAGGAGCATGAGCTGTCGGATCGGGGATGGCCAGCACCCCTCTGTAGTAAAACGTGGTTTGGCGAAAACAACCTCGGGCCCAGACCTGGCGGGCGCAGACCTGGAAAAGGACGGCCGCGGCGCCCTCTCGAGAACCGGGAACGGACAAGTCCCCAACCGACGTGTCAGGGTGGGGTTTCTGTCCACCCCCGATCGTAGGGAGCCCACAATGGACGTATGCGCCCAACCGTGTACATGAAGACGGCCCCTCGATCCGCGAGACCGTCCGCGTGATACGAACAGTCGCGCAACGCATGCTCTCGAAACCAACGTGGATTCATGTACGCGTACGTCCTTCTTTCGCTCCCGAGATCGGAGGTACGCGCGGAGTTCTTGGGTTGGGTCTCCGGCCAGTGGGCGCGCTCGCGGGCGCCCCATGCGTGGTGGCTGGTGGCTGGGCGTCCGCCCCGCGAGCGCGTGGGTGCCTGGTCGCCGATGCAGCTCACATGAGGTCGGGCCCGTCCCCCCCCATGGGCAGATTCTGGAGTGGAGGAGAAATAAAAAGATAGCCAGAACAGATTCCAAAATGGCTGAACCAAAAAAGTCGAATCATCGTCACCAGGCCATGCTTCGACTACTTTTTCCTGTAAGGAGACATGCCCGCCTCCAAGCTCACACTGCACAATTCACACCACGTAGCTTGCACGACGAAGCTTGCACCGCATGTCTCACACCGCACAGCTTGCACCACGGAGCTTCCACGACGCAATCGTTGCTTTTCGGAGGTGTGCCCAGATTTCTTGGGCCGGCGCCGGATCACCGTCGTGCCAAGGACGGTGGGCACGGCGCCGATCCAAGAAATCCGCGCCGACATCCGAAATAGCATGTTCATGCCGTTCCTTCTTCTTCTTCTTCTTCTTCGAAGTCCTGGCCGAGGACGCGAAGACGGGAAGAAAGGCGGACTTGAGCTGCGACACGTAGGCGTCCTTTTGCGCATCCTGGGGCAAGGCCATCCAGGTCTTGCCGATGCTGAGCTTCAGCGGCTTGAGCGCCGCGCTCAGGCCGTCGCCCAGCGCCTTCGTGACGTTGGCGGCGAGGACGTCCCCCTGGGCGGGCGACCACCTCGCCGAGGCGGCGGCCTGCTTGACCTGCGCCGCCACCTGCGAGGTCAGGTTGTTCTGAAAGTCCGTGAAGCCGACGTCCAGGTGGACCTTCGGCCTCTTCTTCGATGCGGCCGCGGCCTGGGGCCACGGCTCAAGGAAGCAAAGGCGGCACAGAACGTAAACTCTCGAAGATCCACGCGCGGATCTCTCGGATCGGCGCACCCCTGTCCCGACTCCAGACCAGCCGTGCTTTGGTTGATTTCCCGACCTTTAATGGTGACAGACGTAAACCAAGCGATGCGAACAAGTAGGGCAGAAGTTTCCGCCTCAGAAAAGTCGGGCGGAAATATCTGCAAAATATGGCGAAAGCAGCGACGGCAAAGTAGGGTAGAAATCAGCATCAAAGGAGCTTGAAACAGAAAAGGCAACATTTCCGCCCTACTTGCGAAGTCGCCCAAAGTATGGCGGATCCGGGATCAGGGCTCCCCTGGCGCACGGAGCGCGCCAGGAGCGGCGCCGGAGGCGCCGCCAGGGGGGCCAGCGCCGATCAGAGAAATCAGCGCGGAGCTCCGAAAGTTCATGTTTATGCCATGTCTTCGCCTTCCCCCGTGACCAACTCTCCATCCTGGGTCGTTTGCTAGCGGTCCCGGGGCCCTTGGAGGGCCTCGAGAGCCCGAAAGCGGCGAGAAACCTCAGGACCCGTATCTCGGGGATTCCCAACAGGTGTGGTGACCACACCGCGTGGTCAGTCAGTGGAGATTCGGGGTCACCGCGCGGTGTTTGGACAAACATCGCGCGGTGACGGAGCGCGCGGTGAGGTCCCTTGCGGCTCCGAGGTCACCGCGCGGTGATCGGTCCGTCACCGTACCGTCCTCGGGCCCCGAAGACGAGGGACTCTCTGTGGGAGCGGCGAGTCCAAGTTGCAGCGTTGCTGTCCTGTGCTGTGTGGGAGGGGGGGGGAGGGCTTCTGACGCGCTGCGCGGCCTTCTCTGGAGGCCCGCGGGCCGCGCGTCCCTCGGGAGGGAGGGCCCCGAGGCGGCAGGGTGGCAGCATGAGAACATGGGGAAGGCGGGGGGTGCCTTGGCATCGCTCTGGCGCCTGCGTTTTTCCAGCGAAGGCCAGCGCCAGAAAATCTGGACCACCTCTGGACCAGAAACCAAGCGACCCTACGACCCAGCGATGCTGAAAGTTTCAGCACCGGCTGAAGTACGACCACCCACGACCCACCTACGACACCACCCCACCTACGACCCGCCTGCGACCCAGCGGGTCGCAGATGGGGTGGTGTCGATTTGTTCTTGGCCGATCTCTTGGAGCTTCTGGTGCTTCCTCATCAAGGCCTTGGCTGCCCCGGTACGCCACACGCGACACGCAGCGTATATTGGTACGGAGCCCAGCACGCAGACTGAGCACACGAAGGCCTGACGCGATACGCTCGCCAAAACGTGGGCCGCTGCGTTGAGCCAACTAGGGGGCCACATGCGAAACCTACCCCTACCTCCCGCGATTTCTGAGGGGGAGGGTGGGGTTCACTTCGCTCGGGAGCTCACGAAGTGACCCCACCCTCCCCCTCAGAAGTCGTGGGAGGTGGGGGTCGGATTCGCATGTGGCCCCCTGCCAACACGCAACGTATTGACACGAACGTTTCGAGCACGGCGCGTGCTGCGGGCGCACCGGGGCAGCTTCAGAAAAGAGCTCCAGAGGACCCGTCTGCTGCCCAAGGGCGGGCCTCCCTCGCCGGCGGGGGCGGCCCGCGGACCCCCGCGCCCGCGGCGGCGGCGAGGCCCAGCAGGAGCAGCACGGCCTCCAGCTTCATTGCGGCCGCGCGGGCGCCGCCGGGGCGCGGACGGACGGACGGACGCTCGCGTGCGCGCTGGGGCGCGGTCCCTCTGGGAACGGAGCGGTGGCGCCGTGGCGCCAAGATACTGTGGTGTGTGGTGAAGCATGCGTTCGAGACGCACAGGGGGGGCACTGGGGGCACCGCCGGAGGGGGGGGGATGCAGGGGTGCACCGACGCCGGGTCCGCCGTGTTTCGGCCGTGACTCTTTCCGGCTCGGAGCGGTGAGCCGGACCTCACGCCTCCGATCTCGAGAAGCTCTCCGCGCGGGTATCCTGGGATCGGCGCGCCGAGGCCCCCCTTGCCCCGACTCTAGATCGGCCGTGCTCTGTGCTGACTGTCCGAAAGAAGCTGGTGTCGGGCATGTGCACCACGCGGTGCGAAGAAGTAGGGGCGGGCAGATGCTTCGAAGTATGGCGGGAGCAACGACGGCAAAGCAGGGCGGAAATCGGCATGAAAGGAGCTTGAAGAGTCGGACGGGCCCGCCTTACTCACGGAATCGCCCAAGAAGTAGGGCGGATCCCGAGTCGGGGTGGGGCAGTGCCAGGGGGGTGTCACCAGCAGGGGGGGCTCGAGCCTCGAGCCTGGAGCCCCGATTGCCAGGGAGGAGCCGGTGACCCCGCCCCCCCATGGTGGTCCCTGGAGATCAAGAAGCAAAAACCTCCGTTCTTGAAAGGGCCCTGGGGCACACAAATAATTAGACACAAATAACAGGATTCCCCATACTCCCCGTATTTTCTCGGTTCTTGCTTCCCCTCCACTTCCCATATGTTCCTATAGTTTCTTGGGGGTCGACGATGAATTGTGTCTGTGTTTTGTTTTCCCTCCTGAGTTCTGGAAGTCGGACCGCCCTCCTGGAAGCGGAAAGCCTTCCGAATGGAGGGCATCGGCTACACGCAAGAGTGACCCCGGGCAAGAAGAGGGGCCCCTGGTGCGCGGCGGAACGGGGGACGCGGGGTGGCCAAACCTGGGGGCGCAAGCCGCTGCTACCGCTTCGCGCTCAGCGATCGGGGGCCCCATCTCGCCCGCACCAGAGGTTACTCCGGCGGAAGGTCACTCTTACGTTTAGGTCGGGCATGTCCCCCATACAGGCGACGAACATTTTTCAAATACCCCCAAACAAGATTCCAAACATAAACAAAAATAATCAATTACTCGGCGCGGGGCTCCCCATATGTGCATCTCATTCTCTTGGTACGTCTTTCTATTGATATCTGTCAATGAGCGCCTGTGTGCGAGGGCGAACCGCTCGCTCGAGACATTCCCACAGTCTGCAAGCATGAGTGCGACCAATAGCAAATCTGAGAGCGACTGATTCTGAGTGTGAGTTAATCTGGGTGCGATTGAGCCTGGGTTTGAGTGGGTATGCGTGTGAGTAAATATGAGCGCGAGTGCGTCTGTGTGCGAGTGGGTCTGAGTATGGACGAATCTGAGTGTGAGCCAGTCTGTGATTGAGCGGATCGTAGCATGGTGAGTCTGAGCATGAGTGAGTCTGGGCTTGAGTGGGTCTGAGTGTGAGAAAAAGTGCGTGCTAATGAATATGAGTGCGAGTGAGCCGAGTGTGATTGGGTATGGATGTGAGGCAGCCTGAGTGTGAGTCGGTCTGCGTTTGAGCGGACCGAAGGATGATGAGTCTGTGCAGGAGCGAGTCTGAGTATGAGTGGTTCTGAGCGTGAGTCTGAGTGTGAGTAAGTTTAAGCATGGATATGAGCGAGTCTAAGTGCGAGTGAGCCTGCGTGTGACTGAGTCTGAGTATGAGTGAGTATGAATGCAGAAGAGTGAAGGAGAGCGGAGAGCGAAGGAGAGTGAGGCGGAAGCGTTTGAGTAAAACCTAAAGCCTTGGAACATCGAACCTCGATCGTCTGGCCCTGGCTACTCGAGTTGCCCACGTCCTCCTCCTCCTCCTCCTCCTCCTCCTCCTCCTCCTCCTCCTCCTCCTCCTCATGATCAACATCATCATCATCATCCTCCCCTTCCTGCTTCTGCTCCTACCGTGTTCATGCTGTCTCCTTCTCCTCCTCCTCCTCCTCCTCTTCCTCCTCCTCCTCGCTTCCTCCTTCTCTTCCTCCTCCTCCTCCTCTCCTCCTCCTCCTCCTCCTCCTTGGGAGTGCTGAAACCAGCAAATCGCCTGAGACATCCTCCCAAAACTGCTCCGAAAACGACAGATGCCCAGCATCATAACGGCCAAACCGCCTGAGACATCCCCGCAAACTGGGCGCGAACGTCCTCCAAATCTGCTCCGAAAGCGAAACATGTTGGAAGAGAAAATTGCCAAACCGCCTGAAACATCCCCACAAAATCCCGCGAAAGGGGCCGAGTGAAATACCCCCCCGCCGCTCCCCTTAGAGTGCTGAAACCAGCGAATCGCCTGAGACATCCTCCAAATCTGCTCCGAAAGCGAAACATGTTGGAAGAGAAAATGGCCAAACCGCCTGAGACATCCCCAAATCCCGCGAAAGGGGCCGAGTGCAATACCCCCCCGCCGCTCCCCTTAGAGTGCTGAAACCAGCGAATCGCCTGAGACATCCTCCAAATCTGCTCCGACAGCGAAACATGTTGGAAGAGAAAATTGCCAAACCGCCTGAGACATCCCCACAAAATCCCGCGAAAGGGGCCGAGTGCAATACCCCCCCGCCGCTCCCCTTAGGAGTGCTGAAACCAGCGAATCGCCTGAGACATCCTCAAATCTGCTCCGACAGCGAAACATATTGGAAGAGAAAATGGCCAAACCGCCTGAGACATCCCACAAAATCCCGCGAAAGGGGCCGAGTGCAATACCCCCCCGCCGCTCCCCTTAGGAGTGCTGAAGCCACAGAATCGCCTGAGACATCCTCAACATCAGTGTGTGTGAGTCATCCGATGAGTGGACCTGAGTGAGTGTAGTGAATGTATGAGTACAAGTACGAGTGAGTCTGAGTGATGAGTGAGTCTGAGTGATGAGTGAGTCTGAGTGATGAGTGAGTCTGAGTGATGAGTGATGAGTCTGAGTCATGACTGAGTCCGAGTGATGAGTGAGTCTGAGTGATGAGTGAGTCTGAGTGATGAGTGGGTCTGAGTGATGATTGAGTCTGAGTGCGAGTGAGTGGGTCTGAGTGAGAGGAGTGGTGTGTTCTCTCTCCTCCGGCGCGGTCCGCCAATAACAAGAACCCCGTACTTAGGACATGGGGAAAAAATAGTCCCCATGCTATTTTCTGACTACCTTTGCATGTTCCCCCCTGTGGAGGGACAGGCCCGACTTAAAACGAAAGGTCACTCTTACGTCCAGTCGAAGAAGGAGCCTTCCGAGTGGAAGTCGGGCCTCCATCCTGCGTGCCGTCGCTCGGGCGTCCATTCCCCGTGCCTTGTCTCGGTCTCGAGTGTTTTCGTTTCTGCTTGAAGGGGCCCCGGGACACACAAATACACAGACACAAAGAACAGGATTCCCAATCTTTCCCAATATTTTCTGGGTTTTCGTCTTCCCCCCCACTTCCCATATTTTCCCATATTTTTCTGGAAATCGACGATGACTTGTGACTGCGTGTTTTTTGACCCCTCATGCAACTGCTGCTCGCTGATCCAGGACGCTTCTCGATGGTCCTCGCCGAAAAAACTGTACTTGCACTTTGACCCCCCTGGGGTGACCCTCCCTTCGCGCTCCCCGAGCGTAGGGGGGGGGGCGCCGGAGGCCGCGGCAAGGAGGCTACTCCTCTGCAGCAGGGGCGCCCCGCGCCGGCGATCTCTCGAGCCAGAGAGGCTTCGGGGCTCTCCATCTGCCCACCCGCTCCCTCGGGAGCACGCCCCCCTCGCCCCCGGGGGGGGCCAAAAATACGGCGAAGCCAGGACGAGGACAAAACCGGGGGAGGAAACATCGAGCATCTCTGAGAGCCGGCGGCTCCAAAGGACGTCTCGGGCGCCGCCGCGGCCGTCCCAAGGAGTCCCGGAACGCTCTGAGAGCGTTCTGGAGCGCTCTGGAACGGAGTTCTCCTCGTCCTGGCCCCGCCCGAACAGACCCTCAAAATGGAGCCCTCCCCTCACCAGACCCCCTGCGTCGTGATTCTTTACAACGTCGACCCCAGAGGTCTGCACCCCCTTCCCAAGACTGGCTTTTCGTCCTGAGTCGTTTTGACGGCCCCGAGGCCCTGGAAGGGCCCCTAGAGGCCGCAACTAGCGAGGCACACCCCGTCGCGATTTTGTTCGCAACGCGAGGTGGCCTCTGGAGGAGGAGGGGGAGGAGGAGGAGGAGGGGGAGGAGGAGGGGGAGGAGAAGGAGGAGGAGGAGGAGGAGGAGGAGGGGCTGGGCCCTCCGACGGGGGCGCTGGCCCCGCCCCCCGGGCCCGCGGGGGGCCTGCGCGCTCCGCCCATCAGCTTCTTCGCGGCAGCCTCCGCCGCGCCCGCCAGCGCGTCGCCGTCCATGCCCGAGGAGGCGCTCCGCGGGAAGTGCTCCGGCTCCTCGTGCGGCGCTCGTGGGACGCAGAGAGACATGATAGTACTACCCATCGGTCGGAAGAGGCAGGCAGAAACATGGAGCAGGAAGGCGTGGGAGGCAGATTGGGTCTCTCCGCCCGCCCCCCGAAGAGGAGGGAGGAGAAGCTACCCGATCATTGAAGCAGGAAGGCGCTCAAAGTAGATGGGAGTCTGGGAGTCCAGAAATACCTACTTTCAACGACCGATGTCCTCCTTGGAGGCGCGCGTCCGACCCGAACATATAGTAACATAGTACACCCATCGTGTAGTAGATCGTGCCCCGAGCGGTGTGGCCAGAGAGCGCCCGCCACGACGCATGTACTAGAAGGTTTCTCGGTGCGCACGTCGCCCTTGGGGGTCGACGCGCACACAGTATGAAGATGTTGGGGTGACACCGAGCTCGGGAGGGTTTATTGCAACATCGTTGATGCGTCTTGGATTTACACTGGCCCTCCTCCTCCTCCTCCTCCTCCCCCTTCACCATGCAGCGTGAAGAGCGTCGCCCGCTCGTCTCCGGAGCCGCCACGAGGGGCGGGCGAGGCCAGCGGAAGCCAATCCCCAGGCACGCTTCGGCCCACGCGCGGGCCGGATCATCCAGCGGACAGGAGGGGGGGGGGGGGGGCAGAGATCGGGCGAGGGAAACGGCGGGGGAGGGCATCATCCATGATCTCTCGACGCCGGGGAAAACAGGAGTCCACACGGCTCGAGGGGGAGGAGTTGATTGGTCCAGGAGGTGGTGCGCACTGTGGCATGCGCACGTCACGCAAGCCCTGCGGGCGGGGACCTCTGCTTGGCGTGCTGCGGCGAGGGCCCCGGCGGCACACGGTGCCCTGCGCGCGGACAGCGCGTCGCTCCGCTCCTCGGGCGGGGGGGCCGGGAGCAGCTCGGCACGCTGAGGCTCGGAGGTGGGGAGGTGGATACAGCGTGCCGCGCCGAGGCGCGGCGGGCCTCAGACTCGGCGGCGCGACACGCCAAGCACGAATTCCCGACCGTGTACTCGTCCGTGCTGGAGGAGGAGGAGGAGAAGGAGGAGGAGGAGGAGGAGGAGGCAGGGAAGGGGGAGGGGGAAGAGGAGGAGGTGGAGGAGGAGGAGGAGGAGGAGGAGGAGAGGAGTGAGGAGGACGAGGAGGAGGAGGAGGAGGAGGAGGAGGAGGAGGAGGAGGAGGAGGAGGAGGAGGAGGAGGAGGAGGAGGAGGAGGAGGAGGACGGAGGAGGAGGAGGAGGAGGACGGAGGAGGGGAGGAGGAGGAGGAGGAGGAGGAGGAGGAGGAGGAGGAGGAGGAGGAGGAGGAGGAGGAGGACAGAGGAGGAGGAGGAGGAGGAGGAGGAGGAGGAGGAGGAGGAGGAGGAAGAGGAGGAGGAGGAGGAGGAGGAGGAGGAGGAGGAGGAGGAGGAAGAGAGCGGGGCAGGGGGGCCGCGACGGGCAGCATCGAGTCCGAGGCGGCCGAGGCAGCCAGGAGCTGTGCACCCTGGCAGCCTGGGCCGCTCCTCGCGGCCGCGCCACGGGACCACGTGGAGTTACGCAGTCCCGGGAAGCGCTGCCCAGGAGCTGCCCAGGACCTGCGCGCGAGCCCAGAAAGCGCTGGCGCCAGAGCTGCGTGTGACCGCTTGCTGCCAACGTACTGGCAACGAGTGGGCAAGCTCTGTCGGACCACGCTTCCGCGGGAGCGACGCGGGAGCACGGTCGAATTTCCAGCTTCCGCCACGGCCGCACGGATACGTTTAAGCGCGGGACATCCGCGAGCAACCACCCTGTATCCATGGGGTCACGGCCCCAAGGGCCCGGTCTGCGAGGCCGTGGATATAAACACGGTTGCTGCCCAGGAGGCGGGGGGGCGTGAGACGGGGGGGCCGCCGAGTCCCCTTCACGGTCGCGGGTCTCTCGGAGCCAGTGTCGATGCTTACCTCCTCCTCCTCCTCCTCCTCCGTCCTCCTCCTCCTCCTCCTCCTCCTCCTCCTCCTCCTCCTCCTCCTCCGTCTCCTCCTACACCCCATCTCATCCGTCTCCTCCTCCTCCTCCTCCTCCTCCTCCTCCTCCTCCTCCTCCTCTTCTCTTCCTTGCGCGGTGCAGCCTTGTAGCCGCCGACACCCGCTTTCTGGCAATTCAAGGCCTCTGCTTTCTGCCTGCCGGCTAGCGCGGCAATGGTGCTGGGGGAGGGGGAAGAGGAGACGGAGAAGGAGGAGAGCGACAAGCAGGACGAGAAGGAGGAGAAGCGAGCAGTCGTACGCGCGCTGCTGGCCAAATGTGGCCCAAAGGGGTCCCGCGATGGCGTCAAGAGGCCGCAGGAGGACCTCAAGATGGTCAAGGTGAGGAGCTGGTGGCCCTTCAAATCTGAAGAAAACGAATGTGTGTTCGCTCATGCGACTGCCGTGACAGAACACCCCCAGCCATCTAATCGATCTGGTAAGCGGCCCACGAAGAACCAGAACTATTCCATACTTATAGTTATGCTGGACGGTCAACGCCATCGGCAAGCGAGGCGAACTGACCCCTGTGCATGCAGCATGGCAAGAGGACGGTCATCACGTGCTGGTGGGGAACAGTGCGACAACGCCTCCGCCTGTTCACCCTCTCTCAATGCAATTGTCCGCATCACCTTCCAAATTGACCCAGGACGCTATCGTGTCACACATCATGGAGATGCCAAGGGGCCAACGCGAAAACCAGCATCGTATGTGAACCACTCGAGAGCACTGTAATCGCGCAAGCGTTCGAACTGCGAACCACTGTCAGCAAGGCGACTGCACAAGTGCTGTGTAGAGCTCGTGCTCGAATGGGCTTCGAATTCAATCAACCGAGTAAAGCGTACGGTCCGCTCACTCTGCCTTTACCTGGCCAACTTCTGTACAGCCTGAACATATACATCGATAATTATATATTTATCTATTTCTGACGTAGTGGAGCGATGTGTGCTGCAAAGACCTGCAAGCCTCATCGACATGACATTGCTGGTCCTAGACAAAGGTTGCAATTACTAGATCCTTCTCCAACTGAGTCCGCTCTGGCAGACTGAATTCGATGTGTCTTGGGCCAGGGGGCAACCATTCAGGACGATCACAATCATGGAGCATGAATACGGGTTGGGGCATACGCAAGCCGGTCGCACAGCATAGCATTGGCTGCACACGATTGGGAAATCAACTCCGGAGCGCTGTACTTCCTTCGAGGGAAGAACGCGCAGAAGTGCCATAGAATCCGGAGTTCCTTCCCGCAGTGGCGGGCCTCAGAAACGAGTCGCGCTGGCAATTCAGACTTTCACCCTCCGATGATCAGCCAGCCTTGCGCCCGCTCGGCACCAAGGTCTGGGGAGCGGTGGAGCGGGCCCCGGGGTGCGAGGCGATGCTCCGAACCGTCGCCCGGCGGCAAGCAGGACACGTCTCCCCTCCGCGCTCCTCCTCCGCGCTTCCCTTCCCTGCCTCGTTTGCGCCTCCTCGCCTGGCGCGGGGCCACAAACGGACGCGTAGAAGTACGGCATGGCACCGAGAACCGTGTCCGCTGTGTTCACTTTCTGCGCCTCCGCGGTCGGACTTTCTGGGCACCTCGACCAGTTGGTGGCTCCAGGTCCCCAAGGGGTGCACTCTGGCAAGGATGGCTCAGTCAGAACGTTTGAGGGTTGTCATTGCGTAGTCCAACGACGGTTTCAGGCAAGCGGCACTGCTTGTCAAATGTCTCGTATCTACCTGCCAGGCGCGGTGGCGACTAAGACGCAGGATTTCACCAAAATCGTGCCATCTTATTTTTTTTATGGGGTTATCCTGTACTGTCTTTCTTAATCGTATTACCGCCTGTATCTTCTCTGCTCTTCCCTCATGCCCCCCCTCTCTCCCTCCTGCAGTGAAGGGGAGAGCGGGCAAACAATAAGCAGCAAGCAGCCGCCTCTTACGGTCGTAGCCGAGCTCGAACGTAACCACGTCTCCTATGGCCAGCTCGGTGCAATTCGTCAGGGACTTGGCGTGGACAAACACCTCGCCATGTGCCTGGGTCCTGAGGTGAAGACACTCTGCCGAATACACGAGCCCCAGAAGCCGGGACGGTCAACCCTGGCCAGTCCGTGGAACCCCACATCGAGTCTGTGATCGCCCGATTCGTTGCACCCCTCGATCACCTGCCGCGGCCACAGCATGCAGGGAGGCACCCGTGGGCAGCTGCGGTCGCCAGCTTGCAACAACAACCCGCACCCCCACACAACACCAGAAAGCTAGCACTCTGTCCTCCGCCAGCGACATGGCAGTCGCGAGGCAAACATCGGCAGCGAGCCCAGGGTGGAAATGACAAGGGGCGGACCTTCCCAGAAGGCTCGGAAGTCCCTTGGCCCTCTGAAAAATTATCTGAGCCTTCCCCGAAGACTTAGGTCGGGCATGTCCTCCTACAGGCGGATTTCGGACGAAAAAAAAAAACACACACAAATATTCCAACAATACCGAAAATAGTCAGAAAATCGTCCCCTGACCATTTCTGGACTATTTTTGAATATTCCCCCTGTAGAGGGACAGGCCAGACTTAACAGAAGGCTCGGAAGTCTCCTGGCCCTCTGAGAAGTTTTCCGAGCCTTCCCCGAGGACGCAGAAAATCTCTCAGAAGGCCCGAGGTCTTCTGAGACGCCCGGCCGCCTTCTGAGAAGGCCTTCTGCTTCGCACCTTTCCCCCCTCGCTCGCCACCTAAAATATGCACGGGGCACGTCCACACAAATTGCACCCAGCGGTGATGACGAGGCGGCCGAGGGCAGGCCAGCAGGTGTCTGCAGCAGACGGGGGAGACCCTAACGAGCCCGCGCGCAAAACGGGCTGCATACGGACCGCCGGAAGGAACCCTGTCCCGGATGTGGACGAGCGCGTCGACCACTGCGGGGACGCGAAATCCAAGGCGCGACGCTGGTGGCGATGTTGGTTCAAGGTGATGTTGGGGATCTGGCTTTTGTGACGCCAAACGAGCGCAGCCCCGATCGCAGGATATCACGAACCACACTGTCCTTCATTTCAAGTGCGCGAGCGTTTCGAGCAAAGACGGCACGGCGAATTTGAAGGGGCCCTGGGACACACAAACAAATATACACAAATCTCAGGATTTTCCCGACATTTTCCATATTTTCTGGTTTTTCTTCTTCCCCACCATTTCCCATATTTTCCCACATGTTCCTCGGAGTCGACGATTACTTGTGTCTGTGTGTGTTTTTCCCCTCCTGAGAAGTGTAGGAAGAAGCGCGAACCACGCCTTCTTGCAAGCCGTCTGGCCACGAACCCACCCCCACCCACAGGGCCAGAACAGCCACACCGCCGCCTCGACTATATGGCATCGCCGTTGGCGCACCCACGGGAAGTGCAGGAGGCCGGCAAGCATGCCACCCGAGCGGCAGGTCCGCGTGGGCAGACCCAGAAACGGTCGCGTCGTAAAATATCAGGACGGGAGGTTTTTGGCCAATGGCGGCCTTTGGGGGGCCCTTGCCGGGCCTCGGGACTGCCAAACGACGACCCAGGATGAGAGACTGGTCCCGGCCAAAGGGTGGGGGCTTCCAGGGACCGTCGCAGCGAAAAAATCAGGACGTCACACGTCTGGGGAGGCGCGCAGGCAGCGCAGGCCCTGTAGGCCGCGCAGGCCGGCGCAGCCGGCGCAGGCCGGCGCAGGAGGTGCAGGCCGCGAGAGGGCGGAGCAGTGGGCCGTGCAGGCCAAGGTGCAGCCGGGCCCCGAGAGAGCCGTGAGCCCCCACACGCTTCGCCTCCAGGGCTGCGCGCACGGGCTGCTCTCCGCGAGTCGAGATGCACGGAGGCTGGTCGCGCTGCGCTGCGTTGCAGGATTCCTCTCGAAGGATCGCAGCCGCGTGGCCCGATGGGGAGCGTAGTGGCGTGCCCCAGTGAAGTCTGACAGGCTTCGCCCTCAGTCTCTTGACCCTAGGCTGGGTCTGCTCGCTTCGCGGATTGCGCGCAAAGCATGGGCGCCAGCGAGAGCGTGCAAGATCCTTCTCTGGCGTTGCGGCCACGCGCGCGGCGGCGCGGCGTAGGGCAGATCGGGCGGGAAGGGCGCGGAATGGGCCAGCTCACACAGCGTGGAGAAGCTGAATCCGCCCATATGGGATCAGCAGCAACACTCGCGAGGGGAAAGAAGGGCGAAGCGGGGGAAAAGCAGGGCGGACAAGGAGGAAGCAGTGCGACGGTGACGAGCCGAGGCAACTAGCGTGGCACAGCAGTCAAGCGGCAACGGCCGCCGACCAGGAAGAGGAAACAGTGTGCGGAACCTCGGGCCAGACGAGGGGCCAAAAGGAAACAACACGGACGGCGCGAGAGGCAACCGGGCACAGACACACACACACACACACACACACACACACACACACACACACACACACACACACACACGCACGCACGCACGCACGCACGCACGCACGCACGCACGCACGCGCGCATTCACGCACTCACGCACGCACGCACACGTGCGCGCACACATCAAACACGTGCGCACACGTGCGCGCACACGTGCGCACGCACACGTGCGCGAGCACACGTGTGCGCGCTCAGCACGCACGCGCGCACGCGCACGCGCACGCGCACGCGCACGCGCGCGTACGCACACACGCACACACACACGCACACACACACACACGCACACGCACACGCACACGCACACGCACACGCACACGCACACGCACACGCACGCACGCACACGCACACGCACACGCACACGCACACGCACACGCACGCGCACACCGCACACGCACACGCAACACGCACACGCACACGCACACGCACACGCACACGCACACGCACACGCACAGCACACGCACACGCACACGCACACGCACACGCACACGCACGCACGCACGCACGCACGCACGCACGCACACACACACACACATACACACACACACACACACGCACGCACGCACGCACGCACGCACGCACACGCACACGCACACACAACACACACAACACACACACACACACCCACACGCACACGCACACGAACACGCACACGCACACGCACACGCACACGCACACGCACACGCACACGCACGCGCACGTTGTAACTCTGCCCGCGATGTGACACCGGAGTCGTGATCAGCACACGCGCACACAACACACAAACACACAGACACACGCACGCACGCACGCACGCACGCACGCACGCACGCACGCACGCACCCACGCACCCACGCACGAACACACACACACACACACACACACACACGCGCGCACCACGCACGCACGCACGCACGCACGCACGCACGCACGCACGCACGCACGCACGCGCGCATTCACGCACTCACGCACGCACGCACACGTGCGCGCACACATCAAACAAAAAAATCCAGACGTCCGCGGGCTTTTTCTCCGCCAGCGCTGGCACGAGAGCACAGCATCCTCTCCAGCATGCGATGGTGGCGGCGGGAACGACGGCGCTGCCAGAGAATACACCAGCGGAGAAATCGTTCGCAACCATCTGAAAATCGATGAAAGAAAATCGAACAATTTCGGTTTCTGTCCGTGTCTTCCGTTCGGGTGGGGCGAAACTGCGGGCGAGGAGGAAGCGGAGGAATCGACGCGGAGGGGGATAGAGAGGAAAAAGGCGAAGACAGGATGAGAAGGAGGAGGAGCAGACGGGGGACCAGTGTAAATCCAAAGCGCATCAGCGAAACCCTCCCTCCAAATTCCCTCTTCATAGGTCCCTGCAACATTTATTGTGACTGCGGGAAGGGCTCCATTGGAAGACAACCATCTGAGAATCCTGAATCGTGCCAGAACGCCATGACTAGGATATCAGCGCCGCGAATCAACGCGAATGTTGCGTCTGGGCAATCCAAATAAATCGTGCCAGAACGCCGTTCCTGGGACCTCGCCACCGCGAATCGACTTGACTGCTTCGTCCCTGCAATCCCAAATTGTGCCAGAACGACATTCCTGGGACTGCAACCATACGACCCCTCGGAACTGCTGCAAACTTTCACCAAAACAAATTGCGCGACGTCAACGCGAGAGCTATCCATTAAATGATCCTGGCGAACGACCCAACCATACGCAAGCGTGAGAAGCACGGCAAGTGGGACGAAGCAAACGGAATTCCCAATGGGGCCACAAACGTGTGAGGGGTGCGCCCAAATGAGGCGGGGCCGCCATGCGAACCCTGCCACGGGGCCTTCGGTGGAGCTCCCTATGGGGCCACGAACTGTGAGAGGGGTGCGCCACAATGAGGCGGGGCCGCCATGCGAACCCTGCCACTGGGGCTTTCGGTGGAGCTCCCTGTGGGGCCACGAACCGTGTGAAGGGTGCGCCAAAATGGGGCGGGGCCGCCATGCGAACCCTGCCACGGGGCCTTCGGTGGAGCTCCCTATGGGGCCACGAACTGTGAGAGGGGTGCGCCACAATGAGGCGGGGCCGCCATGCGAACCCTGCCACTGGGGGCTTTCGGTGGAGCTCCCTGTGGGGCCACGAACCGTGTGAAGGGTGCGCCAAAATGGGGCGGGGCCGCCATGCGAACCCTGCCACTGGGGCCTACGGGTAGCCTATGGAGCCACGAACCGCGTGGGGGGTGCGCCAAAATGGCGCGGGGCCGCCATGCGAACCCTGCCTGGGGCCTTCGGTGGAGCTCCCTGTGGGGCCACGAACTGTGTGCGGGGTGCGCCAAAATGATGCGGGGCCGCCATGCGAACCCTGCCACTGGGGCCTACGGTGGAGCTCCCTATGGGCCACGAACCGTGTGGGGGGTGCGCCAAAATGGCGCGGGGCCGCCATGCGAACCCTGCCACTGGGGCCTTCGGTGGAGCTCCCTGTGGGGCCACGAACTGTGTGCGGGGTGCGCCAAAATGATGCGGGGCCGCCATGCGAACCCTGCCACTGGGGCCTACGGTGGAGCTCCCTGTGGGGCCACAAACCGTGTGAGGGGTGCGCCCAAATGGCGCGGGGCCGCCATGCGAACCCTGCCACTAGGGTTTTCGGTGGAGCTCCCTGTGGGGCCACAAACCGTGTGAGGGGTGCGCCCAAATGCGGGGCCTCCAT